GGCTTCGTGGGTGGGGGTCAAGTCTTCGGTGACGCCCTCGCAGGTCGACGCCGTGGCCCGGGCCATTCGCAAGACACCAATCGTGGACAATCATGCGCACCCGCTGCTGAGGTTTGAAGCTCTGGGAAAACACCCTCTGCTATCTATAACCACTGAGGCATCCGGGGACGCCATCCACGCCGCCACAAGCTCGCTGCCTCACTTGCGAGCCGTCCGTCAGCTGGCAACGGTTCTCGGATGTGGCTTCACTTGGGAGTCAGTCGTTGCAGCCATCGAGCAGCGGCGTATCGACTCGTTCGAGGACTGGGCCGCCCAGTGTCTTTCCGGCGTTGAAGCGGTCCTGGTTGATGACGGCCTTGACGGAGAAGATGCCGAGGAGTATTCGTGGTTCGACGATTATACTCGCAGCAAGAGCAAGCGGATCGTTCGGATCGAGAAGGTTGCCGCTGAAATCATCAACCGCCTAGGCAAGACCTGCGACGCATCGACGCAGACCGGTGACGATGTGATAGACGATGCCTTTGATGAATGGCTTCAGGAGTTCGACGCCCACATCAAAGCAGCCATCGAAGACCCAGAGGTGGTGGCCTTCAAGTCCGGTATGTCATGTCGATGGCTCCCTGGCCACCCTCCTTTAGCAAGTTCCTGACAGTGAGAAGTTATCTGCTACCGAACCGGCCTGGATGTCCTTGCAGCTGACGAGGAGGCTGCGCGGCGGGCGTTCGGCGATATTATCGCCAATTTTGCCCTCTTGGATTTCGAGCGCTTGCAGGAAGTCAGCCTGAATGATTTCATCGTTCACCGCACGGCAACGCTGATTCGGGACTCCGCCTCGCGGCACAAAAAGCCTATCCAGTTCCACACCGGCCTCGGGGACAACGACATCACGCTCTCCAAGTCGTCTCCCTCTCACCTGCAGCCTTTTATCCGCGCGTATCCCACCGTTCCTATTGTCCTGCTGCACGCTTCCTACCCGTTCACTCGCGAAGCCGGCTACTTGGCTTCTGTGTACGAGAATGTGTATGCGGATATCGGCGAGGTGTTCCCAGCTGTTAGCCAGGACGGTCAGGAGAGGATACTACGCCAGATTTTGGAACTCTGTCCCTGGTCCAAGGTGATTTGGAGCTCGGATGGCCATTGGTTTCCGGAGACCTACCTCCTCGCCAACATGCAGATGCGCGAGGCGTTTGAGATGGTTCTCTGTGAGTATGTGCGTAAGGGGCATATTGGGTGGAAGGCTGCCATCGAACTCGTACGCGACATGCTGTTCAGGACCTCGAACAAGCTATACCGTCTCGGCCTTGAGTTCTCCGAGCTAGAGGAGAGCTCGGATGTTGATGTCGGCGCGTATTTGACAGATGCTGAGCTCTTCCAAAACTACCTGAAGAACCAAGACCGGCCGGACTTTATCAGGATCTGCTGGAACGACTTCACAGCCCAGCCGAGGATGCGCATGGTCCCATATCGGAAGTTCACATCTCTTCTCGAAGACGGCAGATCGACAGACATTGGCATTACGAAGGCCGTGTTTGGTATGATTCAGAACGACTGGCTCATGCCCGGCAGCGTAGCGACCGGGGAGTACCGGCTACATCCTGATTTCTCCTCTCTGAAGAAGGGTCCAATCGATGGGCATGTCAGCATGTACGCTGATTTCCGGGAGAAGTCTGGCGCTAGCGTCCCCCTCTGCCCTCGCTCTCTACTCCAACGGGCTGTCGAGCTCGGCGCGGAGAATAACTTGACCTTCCTCCTTGGTTTCGAGATCGAATTCCTGCTCGTCGAGCGAGTCGACAAACCCTCTAGCATAATAACCAACGGTGTCAACGGAACCAACCACAGCCGCTACACCGCCCTGACAACCGATGGTCATGCCTGGTCTGTCTCGCGCTACTTCGCCGACCCCCGAATCTCCAAGCTGCTTCACGATATCGTTGCCGCCCTCGAAGAGATGGGCATCTTTGTCGAGCAACTACACGCTGAAAGTGCCACTGGCCAGTTCGAGCTTGTTCTTCCCCCGTACGCCCCCATTGAAGCGGTAGATACGCTCCTACACACCCGTGACGTGATCAGCGCCCTTGCCACAGCCGCAGGGTTCCGGATCACTCTCCACCCCAAGCCGTTCGCCCACGCCTGCGGCACCGCAGCCCACACGCATATGTCCATTTCTTCACCTGGCGGATCCCGCCCGGAGATCTACGAGTCGTTCTACGCCGGCGTTCTAAAGCACTTCCCAGCCATCATCGCATTCACCTACTCTAACCCTGCCTCTTTCGAGCGTCTCGCCGACGGTGCCTGGGCTGGAGGGCGGTGGGTGACATGGGGCACACAGAATCGCGAGACCGCCCTGCGCAAGATCGAGGATAGCCACTGGGAACTTAAGTGCATGGATGGCTTAGCGAACCCATACTTCGCTATGGCGGCTGTGCTGTTCTCGGGGATCCATGGGGTCTCGGTGAGGGAGAAGCTGGTTTGGGGTGATTGCGAAATCGATCCGGCGAACTTGACGGAGAATGACAGAAAGGAAATGGGCGTGACGAAGATGCTGCCGGGGAGTATGGAAGAGGCGTTGAAGGCGCTGAAGGAGGATGTGGAGTTGGTGGAGTGGATGGGGAGCGAGTTGGTTGAGAGGTATGTGGCATTGAAGGAGTTTGAGGGGACGTTCTTGTTGAAGATGGGTGAGGAGGAGCGGAGACAGTGGCTGATGGAGAGGTATTAGGTGTTGGCTGGGGTGGTTGTTTTGGGGGTATTGATCAGGGCGGTTGCTGCGGGTGTTTGGAGGAAAAGGAAAAGAAAAGGGAAGGAAAGGAGCGCCGGGGAAAGATGATATTTCTTGCCAGAGATTTTGTCAGATGCAATATCTTATGATAGGGGTCGAGGGTGCGGGTAGACTTGCTACCGCGTTTAGTAGTCCAGTGTACCTTCTTGAGGTCTTGTTTGGTCATTCAGGTCCTTGTCCAAACTGAACCAATGTTCATTGAAACAAATCAACATTCCAGGTTTTATTGACTTCAGTCATACTGCACGGAGTGTTCATGAACAAATATCATATTCGCCAGCTCTAAAACGATGGTATATGATGGAAAGTTTTGACCCAAAAACGTACAAATCTCACCCATATGTAACACCCATTGATCGCCAATGTCAAACACCCTCCTTAATCATCACGGAAAGACTTTTTCCCCAACATGCCTTCGCTGTGCCCGCTCCGTCTCCTCTTCCCCATGACCTCAGTAACCCAGTCGGACAGCCGGTACCCCCAGTGTCCAGCAACGAGCGCGCCGCTGAGGATGTTGATGAGCTTGATGATGAAGACGAAGAAGCCATCGCGGGACTCAACGATGTTGAGGAGGATGGGCTCGATGTCGTACTTGAAGAAGATGCCGGGGATGGTGCGGTCGCTGACCTCGCGGCTCTGCTGGGTCACGGCGTATTGGTTGGTGACGATGGAGCGGGAGCCCAGGCGGGCAGGGTCACCGACGCTGTAGACCGTTGGGACAATGGACATGAAGTACTGGAATTTGTGGAAGTGGGCGGGCGTGGTGTCGACGGTGCCGTCGAGAGGGTTGACGAGGGAGGGGAGATAGGGACCGAACGAGAGCTCCGAGATGATGTGGGAGAAGTTGAAGGCTGTGTCGGGGTTAGCATGAGGTCTCAAAAAGAGGGGGAGGGGGTGTCTTACAGTTATGATCCAGGTGGTCCCCGAATTCCATGTAACCGTGTCCCCTAGCGGTGATGTGGAAATCGCCTTGCACCTTGTTGAGCTCCAGGCTGCCGTAGATGCGGCAGCTGTCGCCCTCGGCACCCCAAAGCCGGGGTGTCTTGCCCCAGCGGGCCTTTCTGCGTCCGAGGGCAACGATGTCGTGAATGTGCTCCTCGCCGAAACCTTCGTCGTGGCCTTCCCCGGTGATAACCCTGCCCAACTCGTCCTTCCCCAGCTTGTGGATACCCCTGTTGTCGACCCATTGCGACCAGTTCGTTGGGTCCCGCTTCAGGGCCTCCGCAGCAAGAATGCGGTCGCCGGCGGCATCCTGGACGTTGACGTGCAGGTCGGAGCACTTCATTCGCACCACCATGTCCATGTTGATGTTTAGGATGTGTGATACGCCCTTCTCGACCGCAAAGGTGTGTGTTTCGGTACCGCGCCACCACCGGGAGAACTCGGTCCAGGACAATATCAACGATATGACGATCATGGCGACTGTCCACTTGCCGCCGCCAGCTGTGCGCTGGACATATTGTGGTTTTGCTTTGGCTGTAGAGGCGCAACAACGCTGGTTAGCAAGCCTTCTCTACAGGACAGGGGTGGGCGCAAGCAAAGCTACATACGGAAGGCATCGAATGCGCTGACAATCCCCCCCTTTGCGCCAAAGGCGTCATCGTCCAAATCGTGCTTCTCGTAGCCGTTCATCATGGTCGCGGCTTGCGGGTCCTCACAAGCGTGAGGTCGCCGAGCTCGAATCGGTTGCGTTCAGGCCAGACCCAAGGGAGTCGGCTACCACGGTATCGGCTCCTCTAAGCTCCTATCTTCCCATACAATTCCGGGTCACGATCGGTCGCAGCGAAGGAGCGAATTGCGCGCGGGCAGTCGAGAGTTGCTGCTTGTCGGTTGTGTCACGGGCGCATTGGCGGATGCTTGCCGTCGTCTCTCCAAAGGCCACGCAGCAGGGGAGCTTCAGATTTGCGATGCGCAGGTAATGAAATAAGAAGAATTGAAAAGCAAAAAGACGCTCCCAAGAACTGGCATTAGGTTTTGGCTTTCGGTCAGCCGCCGTTGTGTTCATCAGCCGCCAAACGGGAGTCTCGAGAAGTGGACAGCTTGAACAATTGGAGACCCCTGTCCAGAGCGGGCTGTGGCGTGCGCATAGTGTAGTGGGGCACCCCACACCGCCGGAATCCGCCCTGGTGGGTCTCAAGCACCGCGTGGACTGGGGGCTCCGGACCGCACCGGAAAACGGCAAAAATGAAACGCTCTCTTCTCCAAATCTCCAAAAAGAAATGCTCTCCTCGGGTAAGGGTCGAACTTACAGCCTCCAGATGTCAATATCATTGAGAAATAACAGTCTGACGCGCTAGCCAATTGCGCCACCGAGGATGCGCTGTTGTTGGAAACAGTAGTCGGGCGACCCCCTTATGACGGTCACACCTTCCACCACGAATGAGGGTCGCACTTTCCATCACATGTCTATTTTCAGGAGACTACCTCAAGACACTTACGAGTGTGTGAAAGACCCGTTGTTTTCCATGATTATTTTGGTTCAAGTATGAGTTGCACAGGGCCCCATTTTATCGCTGGCGAGAACTTCACATCGTCGACACGCCCCTTTTATGGTGATGCATCACGACACGACTTTCATAGCAAACGCAACTAAGCACAGGCTAGAAAGTCCTCAAAACCCCCTATCACTCCGGCTACCAAAGAGCCTCCTATCTCCAACACTACAAATGCACCCAGTCCCCGTCCTCCACGCTCTTGACAACCTCATCAATACCCTCAACCCTCCTCCTCACCACCTCCTCCCCATTCGGCAAATCATTCTCTACCGCCCTCCGATTCCCCTCCTCCAAACTGTCCACAATACCCGCAGTCACATGCCTCCTCGCAAGCCTTACCCTCGCGACGGCTGGATCAACCTCCACAAACCACCTCAAGTCCATCAACGCCGCCGCCCTCGACCAAGGCTCCTTATCCAGCAAAACATCTACCCCGTCCGCCAGTCAGTCATTCCCACCCTCACCCCCACTCACTCAAGAACACAACAGGCAGGTAAGTACTCACAATTCCCCTCAAATACAACCACCCTCTGCTCCACGCCCACAGCGATATCCCCCTCCTTCGGATCCTTCACCGCATGATCAAACGACGGCGCATACACAGTCCCACTCTCAGCCGTAAGCGGCGCCCGTAGAGCCTCCACCAGCCGTAGGAAACCGTCCCCGTCAAAGGTGAATTCGGCGCCGCGCCGGGCGTGGGCCGTGACGGGATCCGGAAGGGCGTCGAGCTGGGCGCGGGTGAGATGGTAGCCGTCCATGGGGACGAAAGCGGCGAGTGGGGGAGAGGAGGGATGGAGGGTGGCGTGCCGGGTGTTGAGAGCGTTGGTGAGGATTTCGGACAGGGTGGTTTTGCCGGAGCCGGGGATGCCGGAGATGGCGATTACTGTGGGTGTTAGTATGGTGTTGGGGAGGAGGGTGATCTGTCGCTGTGGTGAATGTTGTTTTGGAGGAGGGAGTGGTTGTGGTGACTGGCTCAATCAAAGGAAGAGGTAAGTAGAGGTTCTCGAATTTACAGCTCACGTAGTCTTTTATTAGGGGCCGTCTCGAGAAAGCGGTTCCATGCCTTGTCGACCAGTCTTGATACCTGGTCTTCCATCGCTGCGAACGCAAGTGGCCAAGTCAGTGGTGTCGCTGTGTGGTCAAGCAAGTCCAATCAGAGAGAAATCACAAATCATAGGGGATTATAAAATAGAGTTAAAAAAAACACAGTCCTCTGTAGGTCGTTAAGTTGTAAACTGTAGGAACCCAAACGATGGTGGCTGCCCGAGGTGTAGGTAACGGAACCCAATTCGCCAATTGATGCCCGCCAGCGAGCAATGACTCCGCACAGCGCCAAAGATTCCACCACTCAACACCTCCTTTCATGCAACATCCAAAAGTGCGTCACGCCCCGAGGACTTCAACAAATCACCAGATTATACTGCCTCACCATCAGATCATACAACAAGAGCTAAACAAGCCGCCCGTCTCACCGCCCTAAAAAATACTCGGTGGAATATCCGGTCTCCACCTCACCTCAAACATATTCTCATCTCAACCACCAACCTCATCGCTCAACTCACCATACCACCCACCCACCACCAAAATGACCGACCCCGACAATCTCGACTCCGGCCTCCTCGCCATATCCCTCGACTCCGACTCCGAAGACTCCTCTTCATCCACCCCCGCAGAATGCACCGCACCACCCACCCGCGCCGACCGCAGCGCCCTCTCCGACTCCGCCTTCCAGCACCTCAAAGAGACCTACCGTCCCAAAGTCGAAAACGGCGAGGCAAGCATCCTACCCCTTTCCCTGTTAACGCAAGTCAAACTGACGATCCAGATCTGGTCCACCATTACCTTCCCCGTGGGCAAAACGAAGCCCGAGGCGCAGGAACTGCTGCATGCGGCCGAGGAGCTGTATTTCTTCCGGAGGTATCAGGAGGCGGTAAGGTTTGTGGAGAGGGTTTTTTCGGAGGAGGAAGGGCAGGGGGAGGCGGTGCTGGATGAAGATACGAAGAAGCTGTTGAGGGTTTATGAGGCGAGAGCGAGGACTAGGGTTGCTGCGTCGGGGGTTGTAGATAGCGAGAGTGGGACGGGGGATGCAGCACTGTCTTGATTTGTGTTGATGTCTTGGGTTGTGATATGTGTAGTGAGTGTGAATGCACGGCGAGGGACTACGATAACGTAAAGATAACAGTACTGATATATAGTGGTTTGTTCTCTGAGCCTGCTGTTCCCTTGTCCCGTCTACCCAATCCTCTCTATGCTCTATGCCGCAATCATCAAAGAGCAACTCAACCACAGGCTGTCTCGATGACACCCGGCCCCCTAAATTGAATCTGTCTAATAAAGACAACCAGCTCGCTTGCCGGAACAGAAACTCTGTGGTCTCGCCCGCTCATGGCGACCATCAGGAACCCCTCGTAGAAAAACAACGAGAAAGGGGTATTTCCGGAACTCCTCAAAAAGGAAGCGAACTATTACACAATGTAAATGCAGAATGCCCCCCATCAACGACGCCTAAATGTCAAAGCCACGCCGTCTTATGTCTCCTCTATGCCCCGTTTTATGAAGTATCCTTTTTCCGTAACCGGCCCAGAGGGGCATTATATGCAACCGGTGCATCATCAAGCGACAATGTACCTTCTCTCCTCCGCTTGGTGTCATCTGAAGTGATTCAGAGTCGGGTCTCGTGCTCGCTCGCCAAGAGCTTTGCCTAAAGAGCATGGGCAAGGCGAATGTTGGGAGCTTGGTCCAGAATCATCATCATCTTCTCCCGCTCCCGCTCCTCGGCGAACACTCTCCTGCTCATCTCCAGGACGGCCTCGAAGCCCTCTTTGCCCTTGACAGCGTTCTCGCGGAAGCGCTTGACAAGCGTGTCCTCGATGCTGTTCTTGATACGCTGCCAACCGCCGCAAAGAGCTGTGATCTTGGCATCCTGAGTGAACTGGGTTTGATGTGCGTTCAGCGGCTTGTAGATGACAGTCTCCTGCACATTGATGAGGTTGCTGTATGTGAGGTTGGCTGAGACCATGGTGACTGTCTTGTTTGCGGGGTCGACGTAGGATGTCTCGAGGACCTGCGTCTCCTCGTGACCACCCAGCATCCTCTTGAGGATCTCGGGCGCGTTCTGCCGACATGTGATGAGACGTTCTGTGCGGAGGATGCCCGTGGCTGGATCGACATCGCGGCTGATGGTATCAACGGCCACGACGTGTGTCGACTTGTCGTTCCAGGGGCAGTACTTCCGCCAGTTGGCGGTTGATACCTCCTCCCAGGAGTAGTTGAAGGTTTCGGTGTTGGAGAACACCTTCATCTTGGTGACTTGCTCCTCGGAGGGAGACTTTTTTCGACACGACGCGGATGCACCGGAGGGAGTTTTTGTGCGGGTTCGGCGGAGAGGAGTATTTATCGCTGTCCCGGATCTCCGATCGCGGTGGTCAATTCAGTGCTGACTGTTCGCGATCTGCCCGGGGCGAAGGTGACGCGACTAGAAGATTCTCGCGATTGAACAAAACGCTTCGACGAACGGCCTTCGCGTTGTCGATTTATAATTCAATTTTTTTTCTTGGTTATCGTCGACTTTCTGAGCGAGAGTGAGTCGTTGGTGGCCGGCTGAATGGATTGACTTACAACACGGAACTCGGGAAGGCGCAAGATGCCGTGCGTCTTTTATCAAAGCAAGCAAAAGATTTCTCCAAATGCTGCGCCAATGAAAGGCAAGCGATTTGACCCGCAGGCACGAAATCTTATCGGAGGCAAAAAAAAGCGGCGAACATCGCCTTTCACAGGCCAGGCAAGCCTCGTCTAACTAACTCAAAATAGCGATGGCGCAGGGGCTCTGAAAAAACCTCGGGACGGTGCGGCCAGCTGTGAGCGGCAGCCCAATCAGCAGGGCCGATTCTTTCCGCAAGAACGCCGAAGATGTCATCCGAATTCCGCTGACTTCATCCCCACCCGCTCGCCGGGCCACCGACCGTCACCGTCTGTCATCGGCATGCAGATCGTCCCGTCTTCGTCCGGAGAGCCGTCACTATGAATTACACTGTCGCCAATCCCGAGCCGGCACCGGGCGGTCAGGGACAATCAGTTGGTGGGGCGCAACGGCTTTGTCGAGGAGACCACGAGGTGTGAACAATTAGTTTGACACCCCCTTCAGCCACCTAACACTAACAGGCCCCCTAACAACCTCCCCAACACTCACTAACCCCTTCTGATTTTCAGCGCCTCCTACCGAAGTAATGTTGCCCTGACCCTTTTTTATCAATATCGCAATGAAAATTCGTTTTCCTTCTAACAAGGTTAGTATATCAGCTATCAGAATTGAAATGAAGCCATCTGTTACTTTCTCTAAGTATTAAAACAATGATGATTTTTTTCTGGCGTCGCCTAATTTACAGTGCCCTTATAGTGGGTTTAGTCACTATAAGGCACTGTTAGCAGTGATGAAGGGGGCTGTTAAGGGGCCGTGCATGCCTGAAGTGGGGGTGTCAAACTAATTGGCCAGATTCGACCCATATATCGCCACAGCAAATTCATGACAAGATAGAGGTTTCAGAGCTCAGATGGACCACGCCTTCATTGGTACAAGCTCTTTCCGGCACAAGTAACAGTGTGATGGCCCCGTTTGCGAGACAAGACCCAGATTTCGTCGCTCAGTCCATTGCACCTCGGTCAGAGACCGGCTCTCTTCGGTAGCATATTGGCTCCACATAGGCACATGAACCGGGCCAGTTCACCGTTGACCGCCCTGTCACTCTTCGAGCGACTATCTCAGTCCATAGGTGCACGATTCAGTATCGACTGACCGTTAAATGTCAATTTGATCCCAAAACG